TAATATACATAAGTATTTTTACACATTTATTAATTGAATTAACAACATTCTTGTCAAGTGCGAGGTTATTATACAGTCGTTCAAATAAAAGTCAAGATTATCTAACTGTAAGCATAAATCGCTGGCTCAAATGTATATACAAATGTAAATAATTATATTTTTTCAGTAGTACAAGTATTTGAAATTAATTTTTTACAATGCACTTACATTTGTTATGTATATTTGTATTAAGGAATGTGCATAGCTAGGCTTGAATAGGTACATTTAAGAGAATACGAGGGTTGCCATTTATAATGCGGGATTAAAGAGCTGAAAAAAATATTCATGGAAAATCGCTTTATATTTCTTTCAAATATCTTCCATTAAGAAATATACACATTTGCATATGTTTGTCATTTATGTCATTTCGTTTCGCTAATAAGAAAAATTAACTCAACAAAGTGAAATCGTTAACGTTGAAACCGCACAAACTCATCGTTAACATTAAATTTAAATGGCTGCTTGCTATGACTTAACAGTACACTTCAATTTTAACGTTTAGCATTATTTGTTAACGATTTAGCGATTTATATTATCTGATAACCATTAACATTATCTGTTAACGATTAACATTATCTGTTATCTCTTTAACATTACCTGTTAACGATTAACATTATCTGTCAACGATTCAACATTATCTGTTAACGATTTAACAGTACCTGCTAACGATTTAACATTATCTCTTAACGATTTAACGTTATCTGTTGCCGGTTTAACAGTATCTGTTAACGATTTAACATTATCTGTTAACGATTGAACATTATCTGTTAACGATTGAACATTAACGACAGCTTTTCGTGTCGGATAAAAACGGTGAGAAATTTATTTTGATAACTACGTCAACGTTAAAATTTCCAAACACTGAAATGATAAGATTTTTTTTATGAACGTTAAATTTATCCTCTTACTCTGAACGTTGACTTATCAGCTTATTTTTAACATACGAAACTAAAAGGATGTAATTCGTTGCCATATCAGGGCTATACGGTAGATGATCGTTGTTTTGAGTGCTCAAAAGCGCTCACAGCTCGATAAAAAATGTCCAGTTTTTCCAAAAAAAAAAAAAAATTAAAGCGCTTCGTGCCCGAACAACTTTTGTTGGATTCGGCTCATCTTTAATCACCTATATAGTCTTATAGGCGATTGCTGTTTACCTCCGGGCATATACGCGTAGATTAACAATTCAACACCTGTCACGATGTCATCGATGTGTTTTTTAAACGATTCTCTCCACCGAACAAATTTTTGAGGATGCAATATAAACAATACAATCAGACTGTATAAAAGTCAAATTTTTATGTAAAACTGAATGTATGCTGGTCCCACTAATGGCGCACAGCATTATTAGTTTACGGTACATCAACTAATTTTGAGCGAAAAATTTTGCGATTTAATTCAATTTTTTGGCCGAGTTGAATATTTTAAGTTACCGTAAACAACACAAAGAGCGCTTTTATGTCAAAACCTGCTGAATATGTATAACATAAGAAATGTCCAATTTTACGATAAATTGTCTGTTGCCAGATTGCAAAACCAGTGCTGCCAAGCCCCGAAATTTAAAAGGAAACCCTCGTTTAAGAAGAATGTAAATTTATAATTGCGATTCATGAAGAATGACAGATTTATAGAACGTAAAGAAGTACTAAGCAACAAAACCGATATTCAACATGAGTCTTTTTCTCTGTGTATTTTGAATTGGAATTTTGCGAGTTTTGAACGTTAAGAGTTACTTCATTTTTGTTACAAGCTAATTTGATTTTATAATACCCCTTCGACTAACCTGAAGAACAAAAATAAAATAGCTTATGGTATATGTGTCTATTTTCAAATTAGTTACCTATGCATTATCACTAACTTGTCTGAATTCCAAATGAAACTATTGCCATACAATTATTTTCTACTTTATTAAATACTTTATTTTGTTCGAATGTAAAATCGCTTCACAAAATATTTATATGTATGTACATATAATTTCATTTTGCATATACATAAGTAGTCTTGCATACGCAGTTGCTGATATTTCATTATAAGGCCACTAAGATATGCATACATATTTTCGTTCATAAGTAACAATAATATACAAATAATGTTATAATCAATTTAACTATATGCTTAATTATATATTATTGTATACAGATGGTCACTTATATTTAATATGTAAATTTTTGTATTTTAATAAAATTATGGCTAGGAGTAGATCAATATTTCATGTAGTCTGCATATTTAGTGTTTATAATTAAATATACACATATATATTATCTATAAATAGATATGTATGTATGTTACACCTCCTTTCAGATATGCATAAATCTGCTTGGAAATATTATTTCTTATCGTTTGCTATTGCTTGTCATGGAGTTTTGTTAAAAGTTGGGTATTGTTTATAACAGGACTCTGAAAAAAGCTTAGACAATGTATACTTTTTGCAGTTTGCTGCTATTTTTTCTATTTTAATTGATTTGTATTATTTTTGTGATAAATATTTATGCGTAAAAAACGATTAACTTGATAAAACTGTACTCAGTTTACATTCTCATTTAATTAATATTTTTATAATAAAAGATACAGAAGACTAAAAAATGATTGCATTTTGGAATTTATTTTATCTTTATGTTGCATTGTTTTTTTGTTTTCGTATAGTTTCAATTTCAATTTTATTTAATTTTGTCTCTTCCTATTTTGATTTGCTGTTAATTTTTTTAATTTAATGTATTTTATTTTTAATACGATTTAATATTATTTTGTTTTGCTTAAATTTATTTTTTAATTTATTTAAAGTTATGTAGTTTTTGTTTCAAATATTTGTTTAATTTATTTTATTTTTTTTATTTCATGTTATTTTAATTGACATAGTTTTATTTAAGATTCATTATATTTTATTTTCTTTACATTTATTTATTATTTTCTACTTATTTTCATTTTTACGTCGTTTTATTCGTTTTTGCTTAATATAAATATCATATATTTAATTTAACTTTATATTGTTTCATGATATTCAGTTCTATGTCATTTAATTTTACTTTATTTTATTTTAACATAATTTATTTTTTAAACTCCAGGCAAATTAGTTTAATTTTATTTCGCTTTGTATATTTAATTAATTTAAATCTAATATTTATTTTTTTATTTTAGGAATTTATTTATTTGCCTCACTTTCGATAAAAATAATTCTTTTTTATTTTTTTTTTTGATAGTTTAGTTTTTTTGACTCTATTTTAATTTTTTTATTTGTTTTTTTTTTTTTTTTTTAATTTAAGTTATTTCTATTATATAAATTGATTCAATTTCGTTTTGTTTTATTTAGGTAAATTTTATTTAGTTCTATTCATGATATTTTCTATAATTTTATTTTGTTTTATTTTCGTTTTACTTTCATTAATTCTTTTTTGTTTACTTTATACTTTTATTTTAATATTTCTTACTTTATTTTGTTTTAAAATATTTGTTCATTTTAATTAAATTGAAGTTAATTTTACTTAATTTTTTATTTGAATTCACTTTATTCTATAAATTTTTTTTATATATTTTTTATTTTGTTTTCATTACAGTTTCTATTTTAATCTATTTAAAATCAATTTAGTTTATTTTTTTTTTCATATAAATTTAGTTAATTTGTTTATTTCTTTCATTTTATTTTACCTTATTTTATGTTACCTCATTTTCAATTTTATATGATTTTTTTAATTTTTAAAATTTGCTTTTAATTAATTTTTTGTTTAATTTAATTTTTTAACTTTATTTTAATATTTTTTATTTTTTTTTATATAATTTAAGTTATTTTCATTATGTAATTTAATTTTCTTTATTTAGTTTTATTTTTTTATATTTATGTTATTTATGTTATTTCATGATTTTTTATTTAGTTCTGTTTTATGTTATTTTATTTTACTTTATTTGGCTGTAATTTATTTTATTTTGTTAAATGCAAATTTCTATGCTGCTATTTAACTTTAATTTAGTTTAAGAATTTATTTTTTTATTTATTAAGTTTAAGTAAATTCAGTTAATTTCTTTATTTTCTTCTATCTTATTTTATTTATATATCTCATTTTTTATTTCATACAATTTTATTTAATTTGAATATTTTTTTTAAATTTTGTTTTATTTAATTTATTAAGTGGCATTTAATTTTACTCTTTATTTTATTTTATTATGCGCACATACAACAATCACATATCATTGAGAACTATCAATTTGAATAAAAGTTAATGAATGTTTAAATTAACGTATAAAACTTGAGTTGTCCCAGTAAATATGATATTTGTTATATATTAGCATATTAAATGGTTATAAAAAATCCGATAAATTACGTTTTCAGTTAATAAACTTATTTAAGAAGTTATAATTTATTTCGTTTTAGCGATTAAAAAAGCATAATATTTTTAACCTTTTCAACTTAGTTTTAATGTGCTTCATTTCATATTATATGTTTGTTTGTGTTTGACCTTATTTGTTGTTTTATAATATGTGTATTTAATTATCACAACCGTCACATTTGCAGTTCAAACAATCGGCGATAAACAATAAATTCAAATACCCTCGTGACCGTCAATCAAATCGAAGTTTTTATTTGTTTCTTTGTTTTTGTAATTTTTTTATATTTTATTTTGCATATACACCTTTAATTATATGTTTTATTATAAAAAATAAATTTACATACATATGTAAGCATAAAACGAGTTAATTAAACAGCAAAAAATATAATAAAAAAAAACATACAAATAAAAGTCAAAATAATAATATATTAAGGTCAAAAATAATAATTTCTATTGTTTCATTTACCAAAAATAAGTTCATGGTTTCTGTTATTATAAGGGAAATTAATTTTTTACTTCTTATATTTGCCTTATAATTATTTCTTTTCATATTTGTTTTTAATAATTTGGTTTAAAGTAAACATAAAATATGAGAAAAAAAAAACAAAAAAACATTTTTCATTATACGCTTAACAAGTTGTTTTATTAAAAAATACAATAAAATTCATATAAAAATATTTCAAAAATACACATTAAATGACTATTTCGTTGCTTAAGCTAATTAGCTACATACATATAAAATATATTTATATTAATAATTATTAAATTTACATAAAATATGTTTTTATTGCTACACTGCGCTGCGCATATGAGAGGCATTATTAAAAAAAAAATATCCAACAATATGCAGCCGTCACCGTCACTCCCACCACGCGCTTGAGGCTTTATCGATATCTCCTATCGATATACATACGCCTAACAATTGTGACATTTCACAAGTCCAACTTCATCACAATTCATACATTTCAGTGCCACAAATTCGGCCGTGAAGTGATTTCGATGTACCGATTTTTTCGAGCCATTACATGAGGGACATGGCAGTAGCCGATAGCCGCCGCACGTCTGACAAGTGAATGTGGTGGCAATTGACTGTGAATAAATGAAATGTGATAAAAATGAAAATCTTGCATACAAAGCGTTTTTGTTGTTTTTTGTATTCATTTTGTGCTTTTATTTTGTTAAATCAACTACTATGTAAATGTTTACTCATGTCATTAAATGTGGGATTAAAGTGACCATGAAAATGCCGCATATTGACAAAACTATGATTTTCAACACGTGCGTGCAGTCATTTCCGTCCACCAGCAGCGCTAACAGCAATGGACAGCGAGCACTGCACACTGCACTCTAGCAGTCGACGTGTATAGACATGTCGGTGTCGGGTCTTACCTTGTATGGTTTGAGCAACTGACGCAGTTCACCAGACTCGTTTAGTCGTTCCACGGTGTCAGCATCCTGTAATGAAGTGCAAAAGACAGAAAGAGTAAAAGAAATTAATTATAGAAAAACCAACAAATAGGTAAACTGGTAGGCGAAAGAGCAAAAGCGACAAGAAAAACCACAACAACTGCTGCAGTTGTTCAGATAAAAGACTTAAGAAGGAAACTTGTTCGCAATGCCGTGCAATTGCTTCGTGATGTGCAGCGTTTATGGCGTATTTTTTCACAAAAATATACACATACATATACATTTTTCCAGCACACTAATGACTGTGGAAAATTGCATTATCATCGGTGATGCTGGTATTTTCTTGATGGCGATATTTCATTGAATTTATCAATTCATATTAATAACTCTGCGGCGTTTATTTATAGTTATACTCATACACATACATATATATGCCAGATGTGAGTACAGTAAATACAACTAAATTTATAAAAGTTACTAACAATAATACGAACTGTTACTTTTCAATATATTGTAGTACACACATATGTATGTAAGCTGAGTGTGCATTACCACGCACAGCTGCTAATGCAGTTATACGTTTTCAATTTTTGTTTTCTACATTGATTTTTTGTGTGTGCATTAATTAATGCTACACATCTGAATTCTCTTACGGTTATTAAATTAAAATACAATGCACGACGCATTTCTACATTTTACGTAAGTTAATAATAAGTGAAATGGAAAAGTTTGATTTGTTCAGTTATCAAGCCAATGCAATCAAGCTTTCGCAATGTTGAGCTGATCATTTTCAACACAGTTGGGTGGTGAGAATTTTTCATGAAGTCAACAATTTTTTTATGCTTTATTTTTAAAGTGATTTAAAACATTCACACGTTGATTAAGTAAAAAAATGTTGAGGTAATTAAGAAAATGGATTGAAAGTAGTTTTCCACATGGAATTCATATGGTACATTTTCAAGTAACAAAACATTGCCATTTTGTTTTGTTAATATGAAAGTAAACTTACCGAAATAATTTTCTTTCCTTTCGGCGACGTTTTATCGAAAATAAAAGCAATTGTTAACGTGAAAACCGCAGAAACTCATCGTTAATGTTAATTTTAATATTGCTGGCTGTTATGATGCTAACAGAGCATTTCAATGTTAACTTTCAACATTATCTGTTAACGATTTTACATTAAAGACATTTTTCGTTTGGGGTAGCAAAACAATAAAATTTCTTTTGGCAACTGCTTTTTAATTGGCCATGTTTTTTTTTTTACTAAACATTATTTTAGTTACTTATAAAAGCAAAAGAGTATTTATACAAATATTGAAATGTTTCAAAGTCTCTAGTTGAGTTCTCATGGTATTTAATATTACGTAAAATTCATTTTAAAAATACTGATTTATATTTAATTCTATTTAAATTTATATACACATGAGTTTGTTGGGAAATTTTTGATAATTTGATTAACGTGAAACTTATCGTTACAATTTAGCCTTGATGTGTTTACATATGTACATATGTCAGCACGTATGTAAAACAAATAGACGAAGAAATAAGTGAGACAGCTTGTTGAATCAGTTAACCTTAACTGCCATTCAAATATTTTTTTTTTCTCCACAATTTATACTTCTTAGAAAATGTTCTAGTTGAGCTTATGGCACTCTGTAGTCTTACTGTACGTTCAAATCTTAAATACTAAAGCATTACTGAAATCTTTTCCAATACTTTGAATTTTCTAGCTAGCAAATGTCATTAGCGTTTGGAATTATATGATATGAGGTGGCTTAGTATAAGCTGTAGGTGGAGCAGGAGTGCGGCTGAAGATTGCTTCAGCGGTTAAAAAGCCACAATTATATATGTGAGGCATTATATATGCAGGTTTATAGTGGCAACTCGTAAAGGGTTATCTGTGCACTTTGGGACACCATGATTCTAAGCAGAGGACAATAGAGAATGACTAGTTGTTCCTGAAATTTTGTATTCTTCTTTATTGGCATGGACCTCGCTTACCCAATTATAGCTGAGTCAACGACAGCTCACCATACATTCCATCTTTTCGATTTTTAGTTCCAATTGGAAATACCAAGTACAGCCAGGATCTTCTACACCTGGTCTTTCCAACAAAGTGAAGGTCTTTCTCTTCCTCTGCCTCCACCAGGCGGGAATATGAGATCAGCTTATAGTTAAAAGCTGATGGGGACTCTATTTCATGTTAGAGGAAAGATTAGATTAGAGATTAGAGATTCGTAGCGTCTATTGCTATCAACGTGGAAGCAAAAATTTAAAACAATGGACATTCCATTCTGTTTTCCACACAAAAAAACATTAAAGATGCGAGAAAAAGTTGTAGCAGAGCAAGACCTGCAATAGAAACGATAAATGCCATGTTAAAGAAAAAATTTCAATCGATTCGGTTAAAACGTTTGCAAATGTTATCGTTAAAGCGGTTATCAAATTAAATTCCATTTCAATTTCAACCGACTTGAAGGCCTGTCGTCGAATGTTAATTCATTAACAGATAATGTTAAGCGCTTACATTTAAGTTTGCTGTCAAACATCACAGCGGGCAGCCATTTTGAAATTAACGTTTCCGATGATTTTGTGCGATTTGAAAATTGACAATTTCATTTCGTTTGGATAACATGGCGCCGAAACGAAACAAAATCATTTCGTTAATTTTACTATTCATATTAACAAAACGAAAGGTCATCGTTTCATTAGTTGTTCATCTCTACAGGAAAGACATTTTATCGTCATTTACAATCAAATCTGTTGCTAGCCCTGCGCTCATATGTTTGCTTGTAGGTATTATACATTTGTACATACTCGTATATATGCATGCATGTAAGTATGTTTATATACAGAAGAAATCAATTGTACGAGTAATAGTCAATTTCACTTTCTTTCGTGAGTAAACTACGAGATGACGACGATTGTTCACTTTCTGCAGCATGCAATGGCTATTGTTATTGTTGTGACGTTTCATTGCGCGATGCCATTGTAACTGTATAAAAGTAAACAAGTGTATAAATGTTACCACTATTGGCCATGATAATGGCAATGAGACAGTGTGAAAGAGTGGTGAGCGGGTAGACTTGCAAGTCTACTCCTATATACATATATATTGGTGATGGTCAATATAACAGGTTTATAATGTAAGCGCACAAGAGCTTTTTCCTATTTATATTATTTGCAATTTTTCGAATGTTAATACATACATATAAGCATGCATACATACATATTATATATACATATATATATATATATATACATTAATAAATCTTACGTTGCGGTCGAGGGAATTTCAATGGAAATTGTAGCGGTACATTTGTTGAATTATCAATAACAGCGGGTGGTAAGCTACCTCGCACGTCACGCGCATGCATAAAACGGTGGCAGCCATCAGGCGCTCGGGTGGCAAAGAGGGAAAAGAAAGAAAAAATGGTTCAATGCGAAAGAGGTAATGACGCGCTAAAATTACTTTGTATGCTTAATACATAATATGTAGTATGTAAATACATATACATATGTACATATATACAACTATTTGCATATTTTCCAACATTTTGCAGCCTTGAGGTATTTAAGAAGTATATACGAGTATATATGCATACATATATGTAGATATGTATGTTCAAACGCCTTGTGCCATGCCTGCAGCTCATTAATACAAATTACAATGCAAAAAAACTAACTGCCAACATACTCGTACATATATACAAGCATTTGTACAGAAGTGCTACCGCGAAGGGGACGTGCAAAAATTTACCGTTTACGGTAGTTGTCACTTTTATTGAACTTTTTTTGTGATTTTTGATTTCACTTTCAAAGTCAAGTAACTTAAAAATTTGAAAAATTATATTTTGAGTTGTTGTCATGTTTGGGTATTTAGGCAAATAAAAATTTATGTGTTAATTTTTTCAGTTTTGGTGGTGGAAATTATTACGTTGGAAGAGAAGCAAAAAAGTTGTTAAATATAATTTAATATACTGCATATATGTAGGCACGAGGTGTGTTCAAATAATATCGCGAATTTTGTGTTTTTTCAAAAATTATTTATTTATTCATAAATATCTATTTTGTCCCCTTCAAAGTAATCCCCATGAGATATTATACACTTGTGCCAACGATTTTTCCAATATTCGAAGCACTTCAAAAAACCCTTTTTTTATCTTGTTCAGCTCGTCCTTCGATGTCGTCTTTATCTCGTCAATCGTAGCGTAACGTCGTCCTTTCATGTGCCTCTTCAGTTTGAAAGCAAGAAAATGTCACAGGGGGCCAGATCTGGGGAATGCGGTGGCTGCCGCATCATTAGTGTGTTGCTTTTGGCCAAAAAGTCGCGCACAAGCAACGATGTGTGAGCAGGGGCGTCATCGTGGTGCAAAATGCAATTTTTGTTCTTCCACCAATCCGCGTGTTTCTGGCAGATTGCTTCGCGTAAATTGCGCATAACTTACAGGTAATATTCCTTATTGACTGTCCTACCCTGTGGCAAGAACTCATGATGCACCGCGCCCCTGCAATCGAAGAAAACTGTCAGCAAAACTTTCATTAAAAATTAAAAATCGAAGACCTTCCAAAACACGCGCAAGCAAAGCAGCTGCCAACAAATAAGTGAACATTCAAAATGAGTACCAATATAACGCCACAAAAAAATTATACGTAACACGCGAAAATTCGAAATTCGCGATATTTTTTGAGCACACCTCGTATATATATCATATATGTAAATAAACTAACGCTTTGTAAACGCTGGAGCGATTAACAGCCGATTTTCACCTCCTCCAATTTGTAGTGTGCACCTTAATGTTTCTTCTGACAAATGGAGAGAGCTGTTGTTTACTGTTAGGCCGCCTTCGAACGGATATTTACGAGTAGCTTTTTATTTCATGTCAGAAGTACACTCGCAGATGTTGACATTCCCTGTCGAATAAGAGATGTCAATAAAAACGCCTATTTTAGATGGAATCATTTTTCAAAATATTTCATAAATAACTTCCAAATTAATATACATGACATAAATCTATATATAACTTCGTAATACTCTACGATAATAT